ACCCAATTGGTATGCTGTCTACAAGTTGGGGAACAGATTTATTTATAGTGCCCCATGAACGATGCTAACTGATAGAAGGGGATACGACAGGGGCAGCTCGCCCATAGGAACTTAGCCCCGCATCAAAGATAGGAGGACCATTGCACTTTGACGCCATTGGCTTCCCTCTAATGGCAACTAAAGGAAGTAAGTATGTATCTGTTTTGTTGGGTCAGAGCGGCAGTCAGTGTAGTGGTCATGCATCACTTCGTGGACAAATCGGTGTGCCAAATTGATCCTGCTGGATATAGGGTCATGCATTGAGTGTGAAGAGATCAGGACTAGCTTGTGGCGTCTAAACATCAGGGGGCTGAGGACTGCACCTCATCGGTTGCGAACTAACTGCTTAGTCTAATGCGATGACTGAACGACTGAGGAGTGGCTGGCGGCTAAATGTGATTTGGCGGTAAAATTCCCGATGGCGTAGTTAGCATACCTTACGTCTGCCAAGTGGACCACAGGTATGGCCCCGATGATGCTGACATAGTGTCGTCATCCATACCCTTCAGTTCAACTGAAGACTGGGTTATGGTCGACAAAGGGGTTGTCTCCTGTGGAGATTGAGGTGGAAAGGAGGAGTGCACGTGGAAACTTGACCGCCGTTCAAGAAAGGATTAGAAGAAAATGGCAGATACTGGGTCATGGCCATTTCCGTGTGCGTGAAGTGTAAGCAGAAAAATCACCAAAAATTTGAAGAAAGTGGCCGGAGCCACGGAAGTTGACCGGTGAGTGGTAATGCATGTTTTCCGTTGCTGACCATCAAGGAGATGTTTATACAATCGTAGACAGTTGTCAGTCGAAAAGGGCGAAGGTTGCCCAGCTTCAAAAGTGAAATGCTACATTCTAAGAGCTGCCGAATGGACCGGTTTTCGAGGCCTACCTTAACTAGCCGAGTGAAACATCGGCGGCATGCAGGTGATCTCTGAAGGGAAGGTGTGTAAAGATGTGCATTACTGATGAGCCAACTTCCGCCATCACATCCGGAGGAAGGTGAAGGTTAATGAAGAAATTGAGGATTGTTCGTTCATTATTAATTCATATTCGATGAACGTCCAGGACCGTTGAAGAGGACGCCTGCGAATGTGCATTTCTCAAAAGCTGTGAAGCCGAGATGCTCAGTTTTGCGTCTAATGACCTGTAGCGGCTTAGTTCCTGTCCATTACAAAGCAACTGCGCAGCAACTGCTTTCTCTTTTTCACAAAGAGCAGCAACTGGGGGATACTTGTGAACGGTTTTTGTGCATAAGGAAGATGATTTTTCATCTATAATGCACCGTCACAGCCTTGGAAGGAGGTTCTGGCTCTGTAAAGTTAGGTGCGTACGAGAAGTCTCGGAGCTAACCCTTGTTTTGTCCCACTTCGTTGGCGCTCATGGCAGTATTTTCGCTTTTGCATATTTGGTCTTTTCGATCTGTTGGAGAATTTCACGTGAAATATCCAAAAACCAGAGCGGGCTTTATTCAGACGCCATTGTCCAAAGTGTTCCCAGAGAAGGCAGAACAGGGGATGCATGTGTGTTACTTTCTGGAGAACAAATGTCCCATGGGCCTTCTCCACACTCACTCTCAACCTTCAAGGTACATCCCAGTCATTGGAGCTGTCCGCTGGTTGCTTTCGGCTACAACATACGAGGTATTTGTGTTCAGTCTGACACATCGATTGCCCTCACCCACGCGATTGCGGCTCCTACCTTGAGGGCCTAGTGCCATAGTTTAGGTTGCGCACCCAAAACAGTCACCTGTTAGTTTTCATTACGTCTGTCCACACACAAGCATTCTTCTCCGCATAACAACATACAATTAAGCGATTTTCTATTTTTTGGCCTCAAACTTGAGCTTCACCAGCTAACGCCGAATGGTTGAGGAATAACAGTGCGAACCACACTCATTCGAAACGGTCATGCATAGCTTTTCTGACAACGCCGCGTCCTACAGGCACACGCAAAATTCCTCCGAAACCATGGTCCGAAAAAGAAAAACCTTACCGTAAAGTTTTAGCATTTGATGGCAAGCATTCAGGCGCCTAAGGTCTTCCGCGCGGCTGAAGTTTTATCGGAAGTTGCTTAAACGGACTCGAAGTCATCTATGGGCGCGAAATTTGTATTTTGATGGCTGCCGGTGGCTTTGCCCATCGTCTCAATGAAAACGGTGGGGAACTTTTTGGAAAAGCTGGTTTCTCCGCGTGTTTTCTTAAGTATTGGATTTGGAAATAACCTCAAAACGACTTAGACAATAATCACGCCCATTACGTCCGCGTAGACTCAATGTGCAGCGGCCATTGGAAACCTGGATATGGAAAATTCTTCTATGGTTGCGGCAGGCGTCCGCGAAAGCCAAGAATTTGTCACAGCTCGTAGGTGTTTGTTTCTTGATGGTCAGAATACGTTATATCTGGCTTAAGGCAAGGTTCGATCTTCACCGATACGCCGAGCCACCAATAGTGCCATTGGATAAACTATTAGGTTTGTGAGCAGGACAAGCAGACGGCACAATAAGATGGCCGCTGCTTTCAAGTCCTTTCATAAATTAAACGGACTTGAACGGATTTGTGGTTAACATGCTTGTCTGGGGAGTATGAAAGATATAACGAACAACGGGCGAGCCATCAGACTGGTTATGGTAGTTGCGGTAGCGTCAACGCTACGCCATACTTCGGTTAGTGGATAGCCCCATACATGAGCATCTTGGATGAGCCGTTTATGGTTGCTATTGTAGTAAGGATATTCTTGGGTCCATCAAGGTTCCATGGTGGTCCGTTGCTGCCATTTAAACGAGGCGATAAGACAGCCACGTCTACGTTGGGGACCCAAAATGGGAAAAAGTGTCGGGAAGGTTATCTTGAAAGAACTTTGATGCGAGTTAAAAAGCCTCCCGAAATAGCAGACAGTAAAAAACTATCACCATTTTTAATCACTTCAACGAGGCAACACTGCCTGATTCCAAAAACGATAATCAAAATTTACGTGCAGATAATAAGTTTGTGGTCAATGCAAACTGGTGAGGACATATGTGGGTGTGAGGGACGTGTATCGGTTAGCTTGTGCGCAACTAAGTAAGATTGAAACACGCAGGAACATAATATCAGAGATATCTGGTGGTGTTGCCTGTTCATAAAATGAGCTGACCTCAGAGCGGAGCTGTTACAGCCTAAAGAAAAGCGTGGAGCTTTGCGAAACCACTTCCTGTGGGGCGTCACATCGCGTGTATTTGGTGAGCCTTGAAGTACCTTTTCCTCTGCTATCAATAAATATTTTGGTTCACGGGGCAGTTGTTCGGGACGTATGCCAAGACTATGGCAAGCATAGACCGGAATCAGTTTTCCCTTCCTTCATTGCATGGGACATTTATGAGGTTCACCATGTGGAAGGCGCATACTTTGGCGAGAGGGCGTGCAGTTGAGGTAAGAGTTTTCAACCGTGCAGTGTTTTGCATCATCCTGGACAGAAGGCGCGGAAGGGCCGGACATGTTACGGAAATATACGGGGACCTCAAAGAGCTCCTGTACACGTAGCTGTATCCGTCAAGTGCGCCCTCTCACCATTCCCACTTAATTTCGTGATCGACGAGATAACGGGACGAACAGTAAAATATCTGCTGGACCCGATTTTCAAATATCTGGCGAGAATTTTGTCAATCTGGAGTATGCAGACATCGTTCTCATCTTCGAAAGAGGGAAAGACGCCGGTGCTTTTGAATGATCAGAGTCATTCTGTCCATTGGTGTGCACTCTGTGCCCACAAAGTGTCCCGTTATAAGCCTGGCTTACCGCCAAGCGTGATCATAAGATTAGTCAGAATAAAGCGCGATTTTTTGTATCTGCAGTTAATGGAACTCTTGGGTGATGGGGTAAGAAAAGGCTCAAGAAGAGGAAGGACATAGTTTCGGGTGCGCTATCAAACTGGGTATAGCAGAGCCATGCCACCACTGCACTGAAGTACATCGGCTTCTTGACATTTCCGTAACGGACGTCATTTTTGTGATCATTTGGTTTACAGGAGCCATTCTGCGAGGAGAGGGAGTATCTTTGGTTGGTCAAGGAAATCCTCAGAGCTAGAACAGCTTTTATATAAGGCCACAGGTATTTTTCTTATCCGGTTGGAGGGTTAGGGTGGTGCAGCGTTCTACATACGTTCGAATTTGTATTAGTTTTGATCGTAGGCGTGATAGATGAGGTCAGTGCACGAAACTGCAATTCTCGGGTCGCGTTTGCTAATTTCAAACACCTATGGCGTCAAGGCACTATATCCGTGAATATCAAGTGACGTGTGTATCAGCCTGCAGCACGGGCTGTTCCGTTGTTTGGCTATGAGACCTGGCCTATCTGACAGGCGTAACCAAGGCGTTTTCAGGTTTTCGACAACGGTTATCTGAAAACCATAGCTCGTGTGAGTCGGCGTCTGCAAATCTGCAAGGCGACAGTTACACAGAGATTTTTCAGTTGTGCAACGGGGATTTTTACTTAAGAACGTGTCGTTGCTATCTCCAGCTAAATCATCACCATTATATGGGAAAGCTGGATAGCATCAGGCTTGGCTATGTTACTAGCTTATTTATTCGGATATAGTAGACAGGATTTCAGAAATGAAGATGGGTTACAATACTTCGACATGAACGATGAGTTACATGGACCCCGGAAGGGAGCTTCTTGTTAGTAAGGTTGTTAACGTGGTTGGGTATGTGAAGGTTACGAGTTTCGATGGGGAAGACCAAGCTGTCGATTTTATAAAGCTACACTATATCGGTACTAGAGAGCATAAATCGAGCGAAGTTGAGAGTTAGTGCTATAAACGAGCGGGTTTGACACCAAGCACCCACCCACACACTAGAACTTCGCTGCCTATCCATGGATGCACATTTGATGACGCGTGTCGCCCTCCGATCCTGAGGCGCAAGTGTACACCGCTTGGTCTCATGACTGACAAGTAAACATTCCTCTTTAGCTTTAACTTCGTTGCACTCAATAATGCATGTGGTTGCCGAATCCCGCTATCGAATCATCGATGTTCACATGGCTCTCCCGTGGACTAAGTCAGCAAGTAGCGATTTTATTTTTATGACAGCACGTCTTCATGCCTGATAACCAGCGTCGCATATAAGCACTGGCGGAGCAGTTTGGAAGGGCATTCAAGGTAGGCGATATCTCGTACAGTTGTGAGTATGAGGTCCGTCGTTCGCCATTAGATTGATTATGTGTGCATAGGTTTGGCCTCGTATGCATCGGTCCGCATAAATACTGGCTCGTTGTTTATCCTAAGTAGCAAAGGTAAGCGACGACGGGTACAGTTACGAGTATGACAGATTAGGTTGGGTTAACTTACCAGTTAATCAACGTCACATATGGACGCGGAACTAGCAGGTACGATAAGTAGCCAGGTAACGCGACATCGAGTACAGCAATGAGCAGGACAGGCCATCAGGCTAGGCTATCACGCATGGCTGAGGCCTCATTTTTACCGGCCCGCGTTATCACTGGCCCGGTGTTCACTATAGATAGCAAGGATAAGCGACATCGCGTATGGTTATGGGTATGAAAGACCGTCGTTGGTCGTTGGATTATGTTACTGCGTATAGGTGAGGTCTCACAGTCAGCGTCACACATGGACGCGGGTTTTGCACTATTCGAGATAAGTGAGTATAAGGGTCCGTCGTTGGTCACTGGGTTAGGCTACCATGCGTAGGTTCGGCCCCATAGACAGCGTCGTGCATAGAAAAGGACCCAGCAGTTACGACAAGTAGCTGGGGTGAGTGACAACGGTTATCCTTATCATGGCGCTTTATGGCGGCCATCACCTATAGAGCGTCATATTCATAGTGTGAATGATGCCCACAGCTATCTCGTTCCGTCATCTTATCTACAGGCTAGTTATGCATATCTGGGAAAGAGAATCATCAACGGAGATGGCTCTCGCGTTGCCACTGCACCGTTTGTGCTGTCGTCTAACAATGTTGTACATAATGGAAGTAGAGAACCACGAGAAAATGTGTTGCAGCCAGGTTTGCCGAACAAAATATATTTTGCGATTATAATCGCAATTGCTGAAGCTGAGGAGTGTAAAGCAATCAAACGTTAACAACAAATCTTCCAGGGTGAACTTTGCACTAGACATTCTTTAGGTATTTATTATTCTTAAAGAACACCGAAGAAAGCCAAAATATGCTAAGGCGCGATTTCTTTTTTTATGTCGCGTAAACCGGTGAGGAAATGCAATTCGGTGATGGCCCATGACCTCGAAATTTCACGCACTTAAACAAAATTCTGCTTGCAACATATCACCGGAAGGTGCAAATCGATTAAACTAACTTCGGGAACCCTATAGTTTCGGCGAAAATAATTTAGGTGTGCAAATTGCCGGTGGTTCTGATGACAGGGGAGTAATATCCGTCATTTGAAGTTTTTACTTGTTTGCAATACCTGGATTTGCCTCCAGGACCACGTCAAAGCTAACAACACAACAGCCACCATGCCACACTTGACGCTAACGCGTCAGTTGTCAAGCGTGCTCCGTTTGCACACACTGAACGCTCAGTCGGAAACGCTTATTGTGGTTTTGCCGAACCCGGCCCAGGATGGGGCCCGAGTAGTTTTATTTATTTTCCACCGGGTGCTCTCCGTAAACCCTTAGCCAAGAAATCCATGCGGCCCAGAAGTGCAGAATGTGGCGTGACTTCTGTAACTATCCATCAACCAGCCTCAGATCACCACTCGCGATATCAGGTAAGAGCTCGAAAACACATCTGGCCAGTGTCAAATTCTGAACTGCTTCAGGAAGCTGTAAAACCCAGGCGTATCCTTTGCCTAATTAGACCATAGAGGTCATCGAGGAGGCTAAATACTTTTTCTTGGACGTTTGAATTTTTCTAGCACCATTTACCACGAAATGCTGAGCGATGTTGAGCGATCCAGTATCGTTAGTCATCTCATAGACTGGTGGATTTCCTGTTATTTTGACCCCCTGTTTGAGGACGAGAGAGTATGCATATTTTTCACAAAAAAGGTACATGAACGACATTTCAAAGAACGATCGTCGTTCTAATATTCCACCATTCTATATTCCATCAGTCCTCAACTTTTGCCGCTTTCGTTACGTTTTTTGGTTGTCATAACTGACCTCATATTTCAGGCCAGTGGTATGTTAACTTTCCATAAGACGTGCGTTTGTTTGGAGTGGCCCTTTTGATTCCATTTAGCCCCTATGGCGCACTCCATAAATAATTGCTCTCATTTCATAGAGGACACCAGTAAAACATCACAGGGGTCTGGGTGTTCACGTAGATCAGCACCTCCCTCCATTTCTGACTTTTGCCTTTCCACTAAAACAGCCGTCTGCACCCTCTGCGCCGTAAATCTGCCATAATTTGTCGAGGCTCCCTCATTGTCTTGCACATTCTAGAGGAATGCAGTGTTCCTTGCAGGCTGACTTAGGATTTGGAACTTTTGCCAAAATGCATTCTTCAAAGCATAATCTGTCATATACCGAGAAGTTTTCCAGTATGATAATATTCGAACCTAAAGACTGCAGCTTTCGTAGACACTATAAGTACGCTTGTTTTCAAACTACACCCCGCTATCGGTGTTCTTCACCTAGTGGATCATTTTCCTGTGCATGCACCACGATTCTCGCCTTCCTAGGAATTCAGTGCATGTGTAGTGGACTGGGAATTAATCAGTGTGATCGAAAAAATTTACGAGTAAAGTAACCAATACAAAATCAGAAAATCACAATAAGAAAATAATGGGTAGTCAAATGAGGACTCACGAACGCGAAGATCCAACAGTCCACTACACCGATCCAAATCGGCTACACATCCAATCAGCTACACATCAATCGGCTACACATCCAGACCGGCTTTGAAAGAAACATTCACTCGTAGAAATTTCCTACGGATGATTCGCGTGTGGGTGATATATTCCACGATAGGAAAGTTATTCAAGGCTAAAAAAATGTCACGGGGACTTTTTGTGAGTTCAACACTTGACGCAACACGGAGAAGTAGTCCCACTGGTTCAGCAGTCGGCACAAAGTCCAACGGAGCGTAAATACACTCGTTCAGCAAGAAGTTGGCAGGTCACACCGGAAAATTGTGTATTCGTAACATTAAAACAAACGTCATGATAAAATATTTACGACAGTTACAAGGTGTAGTTCAATTTCAGGAAAAATGGTAAATGTGACAACGGATTGCATACACCAAGCATGCACGAGGGAAAATTTGTCCATGTCACTCCTTCTCGGGAGAACTGAAAAGCTAATTAATATAGTCCTATAATCACTATCTTTCTCCATCGAGAACAAGTCCTCTGGCCTCCAATTACTCACTTCTCTGCAAGACGCCATTTCATTTCCATAAATTTGCTCCCATCTTATGCGCAAGTGCACGTGCGATGTTTTCCCGCGGAATCTCCATTGGTGCTTACTTGTTTATGGCCACATTCGTCGCCCTAAAGAATGGCCCAAAAGTTTCGCTTCAGCCTATTTTACTCATCTGAAATTAGGCGATTAAGTATTTTCCGAGCAAGGGAGCGTCCATCTGCAAGCCGCGGGCACGTCCAGTGGTTCCGATGAATTTTAGAATCCCCACAGCGTGCCCCAGAGTTGGATTGAAGGGCACCTCTTAGAAAACCAAATACATCAATTGTTTCACGTGATGCTGGAAGCCTAATTCAATTACTCTCATTCAATCAAGAAATCAGCCTCAATACTGTTCAACCTGCTGTTGCATAGGTGCACCGGCTCATATACATACAACTGCAACCTGTGCTCTTTTCATTTTAGCTGCGTGCGTTACCATTAGTTTTCATTACTTCTCAATCCGTATACCTCAGCTTGTAGGGTTATACCATCATATCTCAGTCAGTGTGCATGAATTTTGCCAGATGAAATGTCAACCAACCTGATTCTATGAGCCTTCGGCCTCCAACCAGCGCACGCACTGGTTTGACCTAATAACATCGTTTTGGTTACAGTAATTGTTCTATACCCCTGTTTCGGCGCGGACCGGGCCTTCTGAACTCTCCGAAAGATGGCTGCGTCCGCTTTGCCGAAGTTTTCGGATTTGTATGAACTGAAAGAGGAATTGGGAAGGTGAATATTCATCACTATTTGGAGATTACATTTTAGGGGAGCTTTTTCAATTGTCAGAAGATGTATTCAGTTGTCTACTGGTCTGGAATTTGCTTCAAAGATAATCAACACCAAGCGGTTATCATCCAGAGGTGAGTTGAGATGCAATCTGGTCTACTTAGTGAGTGAATTCGGACTAAATTCTCAAACAAACATTCGGACTGGTGAATTTTGTGTAAATCAAACAGCATATTAGCTCACAGCTCTCACACCAACTGTGGTTGCTATTGCGGTCAACTTTAGCGTGCATATTGGGAATTATGCTTGAGTATGCGGCTGCTGCTTAGTCTGCTTTATGGTTGGACAGAAGCAAGCCACTCGCCTTTCGGGTTAATAAGACGCTCCCACTCCACACTTTAGTCTGCCTTAATAAAATCGTTGAGACTCGGGTAACTCGGATATTATACAATTTTCTATTGCAACTGGATAAATCGGTGCTCAACTCTCTCAGATTTTCAAAATTACATTTTCCAGTCTGCGGTTAAATAATCTTTGAATGACCTCCCATGTGTCATCTTTCAACTATTCCAGGTGTTCTTATCCTTTGGACACTATTAGGGCAGAGATGTCTCAGCGATTAGAGCGCGAACTTACTGACTGGAAGGCACGTGTTTCGAACCTGACCTGTGCCTTTTATCTAGACTTTGGCAACCTGGTAGTATCCCAGTCCTCATGCTTCCCTCGAGTGTCATGGCAGTTGGGCACCGAAAGTGTTACAGCTGAATGAGTGAACACGTATTCTTTTGGGCTGATTTTGCCTTGGGTTGTTTGGTAGTTGCGATTCGAATAGTGCCCCGGCACGTTCAACAGGTGGGTGTGTGCACAGATGTTGGGATCTCGTTGACGTGCTATTTCGCAACGTTTGAAACCAGTTGAACCTGTTGCGTAGCACTTGTTTGGTGAGCTACCAGGCTGGGACAGCTGTCTGGGTGTATTTGACGTGCACAGGAACCACCCGGAGACTGGCCCTCAAAAGGTATAAAGCATTATGGCAGTTTGTGCAAGTAAAGACGAAGAGCCGAAGCCCCATAAGCAAGGCATCCGTGTCAATATTCTCAACCAATGCCTCTGTTATGCCCTATTACCCGAGTAACGACAGGGAACGGATTATGCTTATTTCATGGTTTGAGAACAAACCGGCGCCCGCTGATATTGATACAGCGCTCACACCGGGCGTCAGCTTTCGAAGGCGCATTCACTGTTGGGTCGTCATTCGCAGCCGCAGGACATCTTCGCCCGATCTGTCACAAGACGATTGTAAACTGACTTCTGGGAATCTCAAACCAGGTTTATTGTCCTCGTCAATTTCTAAGCTTGCGTTGCTAGAGTTCAGGACATGAACCAAGATGTGTGCAACTCCAGTCAATCTGACAGTGCGGACAGTACCTTAACTTCTGTGTTGTGGATTAGCAGTCGTTCCTGGAATCCATAACCTCTCTTGCCTTGTGAGCTAGGCTCATGGGCTAGTCCCCAGAACAGCCTATCTCCGTCTATGTGGACACCATGAATTGTATACCACCGGAACAGCCGTGGAATCGTGGTTTCTGCTTTATCTTCGTCTTCCTCCAGCGTTTGCTTCCATGCCCTATAGTTCTTAAACCTCCACACATCAACACGCGGTCTATGCCGCATAACAGTACCGTGTGCCAAAGTCGCGAACAGATCCCCCTAGTTTATACTCGACATTTTCGGATGGTCTATGTGTCATATCGGATACTCGAACCTGGAGGTACATCTTTGAAACATGAAGGAATAGATTTAATCCTTCGAGAATCAATCCGCTTCCCAGGGGTGTCCATCGCCATCAAAGCCAGCTGGAGATTCGTACTGCAAACGTACAGTGTGATCAATTCCCGTTGTCTGTGTGTCTCGTGTCCCATCCAAGAGGTGGGCCGAATACTTCGAACAACAATTGTCATGGCCGCCATCCGGTACTCATCTGGGACCCACAGGTGTCGTAGGACCCCGGACAGTGAACATGGAACCGCCTACGGTCTCGGAGGTTTATGACTGCAAATGTTCTCTCAAGCGCCACTAAGTCCCTGGTTCGGGTGAACCCTGCCCGCGTTGTTCAAAGATGGGAGTGAAGTCCTCAGTCAGCGCTTTTGTGTTATGTTTGCTTGCATTCGGGAAAAGGAGTCTGCCCCAGACAACTGTGGAAGGTTGGTGATAGTGCCCAATTTCGAAACAGTGCCTCATAGTGAGTGTGGTAACCACAAGGAGACCAGCTTGACTCCGGTCGCAACGAGACTGTTGGCGTCCTTTGTGCTTCGTCGCCTTACGGTGGCTCGTGAGACTACCTCGAGAAAGCAAGCGGGGTTACGACCTGGTAGGGGTTGCGTTGACCAAATCTTCACGCTCTGTCGGATGCCAAAACAACGCCACATGTATAAGCGACCCATAATTCTACCGCTCCTTGATTTCCGAGGCGCATTCGACTCGGTTGGCCGAGTCCTTGCTCACCAAGGAATGCCCGGAAGTTCATGACCGTAATAAGCTCTTTGTATTCTCGGACTTCCAGACTTATGAGCGTTTACGGCGAGCTTTCCAAAAGCTTCCGTACATAGTGCGCTGTCTGTCAGGGATGCCCACTCTCTCCACTTCTATTGAACTCCGTGTTCGATGAATTCATGGGATGAAGGCTAGGGGGCCTCTAGAACTCCGATGTCCGAATAGCCTGTGACGAACACCTTGTTCATCTGGAATATGCAGACGACATCGTTTTCGTCTTTGAAGAGAAGGCGCAGGTGTTTTTGGATGAACTGACCAAAGTCATTCTGTCCTTTGGTATGCACTTTGCACCCACAAAGTGTAAGGTTATGCTGGTGGACATGCAGTCACTAAACACTCCAATTACAATCCAGGGAGAGTCACTGGAATTTGTGGAGCGTTTTACTTATCTTGGAAGTTGTATTAGTTCTGATTGTAGTGTGACAGATGAGGTCAATGCACGAATCTGCAAGGCTCGGGTCGCGTTTGCTAACCTGAGACACCTATGGCGTCAGAATGGTTTATCCCTGAATCTGAAGGGAAGTGTGTATCAAGCTACAGTGCGGGCTGTTTTTCTGAGACTTGGTCTGTTCGAGCAGCAGAAATGAGATGTCTTCAGGTGTTCGACAGTCGATATCTCAGAGCCGTAGCTCGTGTGGGTTGGTGTCAACGTCTCCGAAACGGGGCACTTAGAAAGCGCGTTTTCGATTGTGCAACGGGTACTTCCATTGAAGAATTTGTCCAGCATGAGAAGTTGTGTAGGTTGGGACATGTGTTGCATACCTCTAACAATCATTCGCGCGAAAGTACTGTTTTCCATGCCCAATTCAGAATGGCGGAAGCGGAGAGGTGGCCAATCCTTGAGCTGTCGGAGAGAAAGGCGATTACGAGAGAGTACGTTGGTGGTCCTCGCCTTCCAAGATGGGGACCGGGTGATCCCCACTGTGCCTGACTGGAGACGCTGTAAGATAAGGCTTCCAATCGATATCAGTGGCGATCTTGTCAGTGTCTATTCAGATTGCCTGAGTGGGTGTTTGGAGGTGTAGAAACCTCGGAATGATTGTAGTAAGCTATCACTAAGTCCCTCCCCATCCACCTTTATTCTTTCTTCACAATAAGGCTTTCAAATAAACCATGGTTGTACAGCAATGAAGCATCTGCATTGAACACTGACGTCATGCTGTCGATGACGATGATGGTGCCAATTCACGGCGACCACCAAGTCGGGCCTCAGCAGCGCTTAGTCTACCTACCTGGGCGTTCATATCACCAACAACACTATCTGAGCTTTCAGCCTGCTGTAGAAGGGCACCTAGTGGATCATAGAAACTGTCATTGACAGATACAGAATTACGGTGAGTTGGGGCGCGAGCAGAGAATAAACAGGGCGCGATAGACCTCACTTCCTCTCACATGTTGCCAAACGAACTGCATAGAGGCGACTATCAATGGGTATCCAACCAAAGACAGGCTTTTCCCCTCAGTCGCTCAGTACAATGCCTAACCGAGCATATCCATCTGCAGCGGCTTCTGCATCACCCGAGGTGCGCAGGCGGAACCTAGAAGAGAGCGAGGGGGGCAGTCAGTTCGACCACAGTACTTGCGTCCTGAATCCTTGTTTCCGACAGACATACATCAATGCATAGGGAATCCAGCCTACGAGCATTGCTTCAGTGTGTGAGCATTAAAGCTGGCTAGGTCGTCATGCTTTTGGGGTTTGAAATCAGACTTCGAATTGTTTAGGGTTGTTACTGAACTCGGACGCACAGAAGCTGCAGCTAAGTGTGGTGCAGGGTAAGGGTCAGTCCTAGACAGGAGGACGATCGGGGTCCTCAACCAAAGCCTTTGGCTCAAAAGCCTAACCGCAGCGCAGCGGTGTTTGATGGGAAATGCAAACGCATTACCATTTCTACGGAAAAAGTCGCCACACATTCTTACCCCAAACTTGGAGAACCAGGAGACTGTGCTCGTCAGACCACTAACCAGTGATCCACCTGGTATGAGCGACTCTGAGTGTCCCGGGGACACCCTCCAGTTTAACTCAATGGGTCGGCGGGGTACACAAACCGTCCCACCTCTGTAAGGTCCGGTCTCTTCATGACGGGGTCCAGTCTCTTCGTTACGGAGTCCAGTCTCTTCGTATCGGTACGCACTCAGGGTCAAAAGTATCAGATAGTTATCTACCGAATATGTGATGCCGTGACAATAAGATGACCTTCCCATGGCTTGGTGATTCGTTCACTTCCGAGACCCATTAGGCTGTACAAGAAGTTGTCCATTTGAGCACCATTCTCTCATTCCAAGTTGTGGGGCGAGATGGCTCAGTGGTTAAATTGCGAAATCACCGACTGGAAGGTTCGTGGTTCGAACCCGACATCTCGACTTTCCCTGTCTAGGCTTGGGCAACCTGGCAGAATCCCAGCGCTCGAGCTTCCATTGGGTGGCACGGCAACAAGGCACCAAAAGGGTGTTACAGTTAAATGATTATCTTATTGTTTTTTATTACCATACCAAGTTAACTTATGGACAGAAGTAAGGGGGATGGTCTCCTGCTCCTCTGAGTTTAGGTGGGTTGGGGTTGAAACACATACAGCAACACGCT